CATATGACACAAAGCTATGTATCTGAGTAGAGTTCCAGTGAAGAAATAAAGTATCTGGTTGGAGAAAAGAGCAAGCACAAGACTGATAGGACAGAGCTGTCCCCTCCAATACACAGTCACTAGTCCGATGTGGCTCTAAAGTTTCTACAATGTGTTAGTCCTAATGGGGATGTGCTGTGAGTGTCACATAGTCGTCAGGTTTCAAAGACTTAGTGCAAAAATCATAATAATAAAGGAAAGTATCTTGTTAATAATATTGATTACATATTGAAATGATAATATTAGGGGTCTATTGGTTTAAAGGAAGTATAATATAAAAATTAATTTCACCAGTTTCCTTATTCTTTAAAAAAATGTGGTTACAAGAAAATTTAAATGATATGTGTAGTTCACATCACGTTTCTATTGGACAATGCTGGCATACAGAAAAGGGTTATTGTCACAGCCGGCGCGACAAATCGACCAGGAACGTGAGGGTAAGAGGATGAAGAAAAGAACTCAAGAAGCAGAGAGATGGGGGCAGGAGGAGCACTGAGGAGGATACCCAACAGGGCTGATTTTATTCCACATCCTACAAGCATTTATAAGGCCGACCACAATAGAAGGAGTAATATACATCAGTATCTAGTCAGATAACCACAAGTTCCTATAACAAGTTTTACATTAACTACAAACAAATCTCATGATGCCAGGTAATCACGGTTAATGCCATTAGCTACTATTGATACAAGAAGTTACAATCAACCAGGGAGTGGATTATGGGCAGTACAGGAACAACAAGGACCAACGAAGAATTTCTGACCCTGACCACATTGTTCCCTTCTGTAGGGAGAATGTGTGGGAAGTCACGTAGGCGAGCGCACGACGTAGCACAGACCCTTTCTCAGGGCTACTCGACTTTATCGACCGAAGCCTTTTGTTTGGCTCTTCAGCTTTTAAAGGAGGCACAAGTCAAGGCCTGGTTTGGTCCTCGTCTCAAGCCTTACCGTGGCCTCCCACAGGTTATCTCCTAAGAAATCTGGTTATTTGTAGAAAAAAACTTGAACGGTTCTACATTGATGAGATTTTTTTTTTTTTTTAATGTATGGAGAAATTAAGGAAGAGAGGTTGTGGGAAAGATATCTGATTACGCCATAATAGACTTAAGGGTATATTAATAATAACAGAAAAATGACTCTCCAGTAGTAATTATTTATTGTATCAGCATGCAATGTAATCTATGACTAACGGTGGAATTATTCCCATTTAGTACAAAAACAAAAACAAGATTGACTTTTCCTATGAGTTTACTCTCTTATTAAATCTACTATATAATGAAGTTAAGAAAAATGTCCTTCAAAGCATACTTTAAAAAGCAAAGAGATCCAGTAGAATCTATAGAGTAATGAGGTGAAATGCCTGATACAAAGTAAATAATAAATATTTAAGATTTCACTATTGTTATGAATAATAATATTATGCCTCAGTAATTAAGCAATGTTTTCTGGACTTCTGGATTCATCCGTTTATTTATTCACTCACCCAGCAAATACGTTAGAGGTTGATGGTGATTAAGAGAGGGATGAAATCAAAGCCATTGACCCATTTTTCAGGGGTGTTGAGGGGACTTGAAGGTGATTTAACAGCAATGTAACATAGCAGAAAAATTAACTCAGAAAAGAAACAGTAGCATGTGTCAAAATAGCCAGTGTTATCTTGTTGCTCTTTCCAACTGCCTTTCATTTACCCACACAAATTGATGAGATGGTGTCTAAAACTAGATATGACGTAAATTCCTGGCCAAGTGTCCTGTGTGTGTGTGTCTGTGCATGTCTGCGCATGTTAAAAAAAACAAACAAAAAACAAAGCAAAACAAAAAAAACATTCCCACCTGAACATACCTCCTACAGGAATTCAAATACAAAATGAGCTGTAGGGAATACCATACATAAATTCTGCACATTAAGTAGGCAGGTAGGCAGGTAAATAGTCTTGGAGGATTGGATGCTGTAAATCTCCTCCCAGCAGATGATACGGCCCCTCCTCTTCATTCCCTTGAAGCTTTGACCTTTGCCATGAATGCGGTCCTGATCTGGCCACTCTAGGACGTGGAAGTCATCAAAGGCAAATACCTGCACTTTTGGTAATAACTTCTCTTTAAATGAACACGATCTTTCCTTTGCGCACTTCCGATCAGGATGAGCATCCATTCGATTGGCTTTTTATGACCTCTTTTCAAAAACCTTTAAAATTTCAGTTATTTATGATAGAACTTTTCATTTGCCTTTTCTCTCTTCTGCCTCTCTATCCTATAGCCATCCGGCGTTTGAAGGTGGGTGCAGTCTACTGGGGCTGACTGGGAAATTCACCAACACCAGCCAGCGTTAAAGAGAGCGTGCTCCATTCTGATAGGTAACTTCAGAAACAGCATTGTTTCTTATACGTGTCACGAGCATGGACAACTCTGCTTTATGGGTAAAGAAATAAAATAGTTAAATGTAATTTAAAGTGCCTTTTCTAAGGCCAAGGTGGGCTAATCAATCATTGTGTGTGTGTGAGCACGTGTGCTAAAGGCTCTGTTTGAATTTTAGGATGCATAATGAATTAGATAAATTATCTGGTGAGCAAGCAACAGATTTTGTGTTCCTGTTCATGCAAAGTCTTTTATTCCAGGGAAAAATTTGTCTAAAGGGGGTAAGGTTTAATTATTTGTTTTTCTAAAATTCTCATTCCTTTCTATTTTTAACCTCGACTTGCTTTCAAGGGAAAATGATTTCCCCTTTGATACAAAGTTATGTGTTACAAAAAAAAAAAAAATCAATCTTTGGGGAGAAAGAAGCAAACAAACAAAAAAAGATGAGATGTAATAGCAAAAGTATTTAGAATTAGAACATCAGAAGGAAAATAATAATCATTGTCACCAATAGATACCAAGTTCAAGGATCTATGTTCTATGCTCAAGCACATGTTTTTAGAGCCTTGATATTTGAATGAGGATCCATCATTAAAAAATTGGCTCAGACTGCAATATGATCTTCGGACCAAGGTATCAGAAACACCACTGGGTTTCAGAAAGACTGACCTTTAATCTACATTTTGCCCAAGATCATGTTCCAGCTCTAATATCATCTAATTGCGGGGGGGGGGGGGCAGATAGTGAAGCAGGGAAATTTTGAGCTTTTAGAAAGTAGGAGCTATAGTTTTGTATTTCACAGGGCCAAGGAAGAAGTTGCAATGTGTTTCATTTTATCTCGTTTCAACATGTTGAAAGCGTTCAAGAGGGGATCTGAGAGGGCCACGAGGTAGGGCCACGAGTTAGAGTTCTGAAATTCACCCTGGTCTACAGCCTGTCAAGGCCGGAGATGCTTAGCTCCATTCCTGCTGCTCCCACACCGAGCATGGCCACAAATCTACATTAATACTAATAACATTGTGCCTCCCAGAACTCCCCAGAGAGTTTGCTAAGTTCTGTTTGAAATGATTCTGAAAGTCAGAAGCCATGTGCGTTTCCCAGCAGGTCCTCACCCCTGTCACTGGGCAGTCAGGGTCAGGAACAGTGGAGTCTTGACTCAAAGGGGGAATAATCTGGGTGCCTGGGGGGCTCAGTGGGTTAAGCATCTGCCTTCAGCTCAGGTCATGATCCCAGGGTCCTGATCCAGCCCCGCATTGGGCTCCCTGCTCAACCGGGAGTCTACTTGTCCCTTTCCCTGTGCCCTGCTTGTGCTGTCGCTGTCTCTGTCTCTCTCTCAAATCAGTAAAATCTTTAAAAGGGGGGGGGGAGGCGGGGGGGCAGAATAACCCATAATCCTCCCACCTCTTCCAACAATCAGATGCTTCTTCTCACTCCACGTTGCTGTAACTGGCTTGAATTCCCCATTCCAATGGAACAGATCTGAGGGTTTGGACAAACTCAAGTAAGGCTTTGTTTTTGAAAGGGGTGCAGAACCAGTCCAGACTCAGAGAACGGAAACTACTGCCCTCTGCTAGGTAGGATTTCATTGTCTCGCCACTTCTTGTCCCAGAGAGCTTCAGTCCTTCCTGGGGCCCTAGAGGGGTACGGAATACAGAGTGAAACAGAAACCCTGCTTGTGTGCCTCCCCTAGTGTTTGGGGAAGGGAGTGGAGCTAAGCTGTCATTCTCCTCTGGCCTCTGCTTCTACTTTGTTTTTTGTTTCACATTTTGTTTTTAAGATTTTATTTATTTATTTATTTTAGAGAGGGAGAGAGTGAGAACAGGGGGAGGGGCAGAGGGAGAGAGGGAAGCAGGCTCCCTACTGAACAAGGAGCCCGATGTGGGGGCTCAATCCCAAGACCCTGAGATCATGACCTGAGCCAAAGTCAAGAGTGGGACCCTCGGCCCACCGAGCCCCCGGGGCGTGCCTGCTTCTGCTTTGCTTTAATTCGAGGTGAACTGGGTCTGTGGTTCAGTGCCCACAAGGGTCACTGCCTCCCTTGGACGTATGTGTCAGTTTCCCCTGATGCTCTGCTGGTTCCAGGTCCTGCCGGCCTCGGGAGCTGGGAGTCAGGGTGGCCTCATCCTCACCATTTAACCCACAGTCAATCACCCCCCTCCACACCACACGGTTGACATCAGTGCTTTTCCAGACTTCGCTTCGTCTGACTCCAACAGAAATGGTCTGGTGTTGAGGAGGTAGATTTTGCTTCTATGCCTGGTTCTGTCCATTAGGATCCCGAGTCCATCCGACTTCCCCATTTCATGCCAGGCTTGGAAAAGATAGCTGAACCCTCCTGACAGCGGCTGCCACTCCAAGGAAACATAAAGGATTCAGTCATACTGGTTACTTGGCACCCCGCAGACCACTATTTCCCAATCTGCAAGCACATCAGGGCATTTGGTGCGTCAGGAAGACGCCCTGGGCGGCGCCACAGCCCGGGGTTTCCTCATTGCCATGGGCTTCCGGTCTCTGCTCTCTCTAGCTGCTAACTGTCACTGCAACTACATCTTGTTCTTCAACCTGATGTCACATCCAGAATTTTAGAGGTTCCTAGTCGGTACGGAGTCTTCTGGAACAGAGGGCGCTCATTGAGCTAGGTAAGGTCAAGATCTATCACAACTGGGAGGTGGGTTGGGGTGATGGTCAGATCCAAGGGTGCTGCTGGGAGGCTGCCTGCCTTCTCCACCCAGTTCTGGCACCTGTGGGCTCTGTGACCTGGGCAGATCTGAAATCTCTCTAAGCCTTGGGTATTTTTATCCATAAGGTTAGGATGATAGGACCCACTTGATGGAGTTTCTCTGAGATTTAAATAACACGCCTGAGGTATTTAGAAACGTTCTCTGCACAAGCTTTAGCACTCAGTAGATATTAGCTGTTGCTAGTTTTAACAATGTTTTAAATAATATAACATTTGCAGATATAAAATCGTCTTCAACCGGACAGCAAATGCATGGGAAGCTATTTAAAATCTTCAGAAGTAAAGCTCTAAATTTCTAGAAGTCGGTCATTAATTTGTTACAGCTCTCTGATGTTACTTTCTGGCTCATTCTCAGATTAGGAAAAATAGTGAGAGGACTGACCTGTTTCTTGCTTTGTAGGTCATTTAATCCTTCCTGTAAACCCCATAGGGTAGGTTAAAACCACATTGAGATATCACCTTACACCAGTTAGAATGGCCCAAATTAGCAAGACAGGTTACATTATTATTCTAATTTCACCCACAAGGAAACCAAGAGACAAAGCTGCAAAATAACTTGCCCAAGGTCAGAAATCTTGTCAGTGGTGAGGCTGGACCTCAAAGTCAGGTCACAGTGCGGGTGGGGAGGGTGTCATACGAGGGTCAGTCTGGACTGCCATGAGGTTGGTCTGCCTTGGCAGAGGTTGTTTTAAGCCCTGCCAAGAAAGAGATTGTACATTTAAATGTGCCACCTTCCCCTCTGGGTGTCAACAAGAGAAATAATCCCGTCACTGGAAACCCATCCTCCTCCTCTCTGCTCACTGTTCTTGTTTGTTTTGTGGGAGGCCAGTTAGAGTAGAGGATAACGCCCCTTTTCCCTTTGCTGTGGCTTGGACACCTGTCCTCTGAGTCTTCAGGTATCCTGGCAATTTGCAGGTGAGCAAAGACTAGACATAATTGAAAACCTTTGATTAAAGGACAACCAAAACAATAAGTCTTGGTGCTTGATGAAATATCTTGCAAGAAATGGATTGGGTCAAAGCACTTTCTATGCGAAGAATGGATTCCGACGCTCAGAATTAGCTCACTGTGTTTGTTTGCTCCCTCCCACAGTTTCTCAGTGTCCCTAGGATGTCCGTCCAGTTTGCAGTAGGGCACTATTTTCATTTCTTAAGCAACATTGATGTCTAAGATTAATCTGTGATTATTAAATGTCTTACGTCAGGCATTCCCACGATGTGGCTGGTTTTAACAACAACCTGTTGTTTGATCTGTGGAACTTTAAATGCTGGTAGATTCTTTAATTTGGAAAATGAAGCGAATCCTGAAGTGTGGATGAATATTGTAAGTCATGCCAAGTCCCAAAGGACATCACATAAGGCAGATGCATGGTCTTATGAGAGCAGAAAGTCTCAAATAAGGGAACAGATAAAACATAGGTGATATTTAAGGTTTCTCTGAGAGTCAAGCTAGGGAGAACTTCCCTTTTGGCTGAGTAAATAACACTTTCCAGTAATGTAAAGCAAAAAAGAATTTATAGGCAACCTCCTTGTTTGAATTTATATTTCAAAATATGAAAAATTTCTATTCTAAGCCCCTTGGATATTATATATGACCACCTTCTCCCCAACCAAAAGGGGCCTCGAGAATTAGCTGGAGAACATAGTTCTGTCAGAAAAATGGGTCAATACCTAATACCATCTCTACCCAACTACCCACCCCCAAATTTGCCAATAGCAGACATTTTTTAATATTCTGCTAATTTTTTTAAATCAAGACTTTACATAGTAAATCAATTTTGCAGTTACCTGGGGCTACAGATTTCAGATAATTCACCCAATAAGCACACACAAGATGCTTTGTTCTAGTTCTTTCCAAAACCCTTTGGAGAAGATGTAGAGCTAATGCCTGTGTTTTCACGGGACAGAGTGAGATCATCACCTATAATGGCTACCCCAGTGAAGAGTATGAGGTCACCACTCAGGACGGGTACATCCTCAGTGTCAACAGAATTCCCCATGGACGAAGAGATGCCCGGAGCCCAGGTACGAAATGCGTCTATCCTGCGAAGGTGGACCGCATATCACTACACCTTAGGACTGGCTTTCCACTGAGAGAATGACTGGTTTTTCAAACTTGGTTCAATTCTTAGATTAGTCTTTAAACAGTTAAAGGGAGTCTCCTTCTTTTCCAATTTTCTGAAGACAGCCAAGAACCTAAAAATATGACGGGCAAGACAGATCTTGTTGACAGCAAACAGGCTCGCTTGCTGGGGGTGTAAATGCAAAGGCGGGACCGAAATTTCTTTCGTTCGTGACTCATTTCTCATGTGAAAAATTGCTGCATCCCGGGAAAGGGATTTCCTCACTCACAAAGAGGTTGGCTGGGTTGCGTGAAGTCTCTCTTGCCCCCTTTAGAATCAATAGTCCTCCTTCGGCAGGACTAAAAAATCAAATTAGATGACACTGACATTTCTAAAACTTTTTCCAGGAAGGAAAATTGGGACATTCTTCCTATATTTTGATCCAAGGGACACAAGTTTTGTGGGAGGAAGGAGCATGGTATTGATATGGCCTAAAGTCTAGCATGAAGAGCCAGCCATGCAAAAGCAGAGGAAATTACTCTTTAAGTAGGGACAAGTCACTGCAAAGCTCAGGATGAGTGAGGAACAGAGAAGAAGGAGCAAAGTATCTGGGAAGACAGGAGGGCAAATCCTCTACCCCATCACTGCGCTGTCCCTCCCGCCATTCATATTCAGACGCGGCTAAAATCGCCCTGTTTGACTTCTGTCCTCCAAGAAAGAAAGGCATAATTCTAGAGATTCAGAATGAAAATTGAGCGTGGGATGAAGTTGAGGCTAAGAGACAAATGGGAGAAGTTGAAGTTGACTCTCTGATCACTAACAAATCAGTTTCTCGGACAAGTTCCTCTTTAGAATGTACTTAACCAAAAATTGTTCATCCCGTATCTGAAATTCAGACCAACAGGCCATCCTGAGTCTTCCTGTTAATCTTCGTTTCCTTCCTTTCTTTCTTTCTTTCTTTCTTTCTTTCTTTCTTTCTTTCTTTCTTTCTTTCTTTCTTTTGCTAAATCTGGCAATACCAGGCTTGGAGGGAGGGGGCTGGGGACCATAAAAGGAGGGCATTTTTCTCCTTTCCAAGGAGGAAGAATTTGGGGAAGGTTTGGAGTTAAGAACCATGGATTAAGTGTATTATTCTAAAAACTTTACATTAATTTATGTCTGAGAAACCTCTCGGCATCCCTAAGAGGTCAGTACTATGAATAGTTATCATTTTACAGGTGATGAACCTGAGCAGGCTGTGTAACAGGCTCAAAGTCACACACACATAGCAAGTGATAGAATCAGGACTCAAACCCAGCCAGCTCCAGAGCCTGTTCTCTTAACGCACTAAATTATGGTGCCTTTTGGAACCTTCTGCGCCGGTTCACCTCATCTCCCTGAATACCCTCTCCCTCAAGAATTTGACAGTCATCAGAGGGATGTTAAGCTGATTCTATTATATTTGGGGTTTTCAAATGCTCTCTGGCAAGCAGAGGCTGGGGATTTGGCTAGAAGCTTGGAGAAGAATCAGTCATTGTCCATTTACGCTCCCATCCTCCTCCTCCCTGGAAGAGGCAAGGGATTCCATCAGACATGATCATTTTCCTGTCTTTGCCAATCAGACCCCGGAGATATGCAAATGTGAATTCCTAGAGCTGGGAGCACAGTTTACCAGCACCCACTGCGGTGTGAAAGAGAACTGGGCTTGCGTCCTGGCTCTGCATCTTGTTAACCGTGTGGCCCCTTGGGAAAGGTACTTCACTACCTCAAAGCTCAGTTTCTGCAGCTGTAAAATGAGGATCCTTAAAGGAGTAGCTACTTGGTAGAGGTATCATGAGGCCATAACAAGCTCCTGCATGTTCATCCGTCAGCGCAGCACCAGATGTAATAAACATGCTTGAGAAACTTACACGTGACTCTCCCACTCTAACAAATGACAAGGGGAAAGGTGAATGCTGGTTTTGGGTTTTGCTTCTTCTGGTGTGGGGTGTGTACGTGGGAGGGGTTTCTATCATGTTCCTGAGATGTTCTTTTTCTCATAAGTTCTTTTCTCTCCCCTCTCTCTCTTCTCCCTTCCTCCTTCCAGGACCCCGGCCAGTCGTGTATTTGCAACATGCCTTATTTGCAGACAATGCCTCTTGGTTGGAGAATTATGCCAATGGCAGCCTTGGGTTCCTTCTAGCAGATGCAGGTTATGATGTCTGGATGGGAAACAGTCGGGGGAACACTTGGTCAAGAAGACACAGAACACTGTCAGTCAATGAAGAAAAATTCTGGGCCTTTAGGTAAGCCTCATCTAAGAAAAATCATGTGGAAAGTTGGAGACAATTTCTTTGAATATAATAGTGTGGGTGATATTAATAATAATCCATAACATTGGAAGGCACATAGTTCCTTGTAGTTTCTACTAATATCTCAAAGCAAAGAAACAGCAGGAAGTTAGATTTCCACTGATTGGCCCACAAGTTAGTTACATCATTTTAACGAGATGGTTTTTTAACATCCAATTCTATCCAATACTATACAATATAAATATGTCCCAAGAGACAGCTCAGGGAATTCCTGTGACCAGGGCACATACTCATTCAATCAATGTTTGCTGAGTGTCTACTGTATGTACAGTTATAGGCTCTGAGCACTCAAGAGTGAGAAAAGTGCCTGTCTTCGCGAAACTTCTATTCATTCTAGCGCTGCTAATCCAGGTCTTTTCTCTTGGACAAAGATGGTGTGTGCCAGTACTATATTTCATTTAGAGAAATTCTGGTTGTAACTGTAGTAGATACCATTTCCAAGAGAACCCCAATATGAGGTCTTTAAAACCTTGCTGAGGGCCATAGAGAACAATGTCCTCATATGCTACCTCCATCTTTTACTGAAAGTATTTCTGCTGTCACCAGAGGACAGGCTGATTCTTGCAAGATACTTCCCTTTGCAAGGCTAAGCTCCTTGTTGGTTTGCAAGCCTGCTGCTAGAACAGAGTGTGCATTCCTACCATGCTGATGAAATATTCAGCACCCACTGACAGGTGGAGAATCAAGGAAGGGTAGAATAAATTGTTAGGGTCAGAGCCTTTGGGCAGGAACAAACATCAGGAAATATTTTGCGTCGCTGCCCCTTGGCAGGGAGCTTGGAACTTGTTTGCTGTAAGACATCACAAGAATTTTCTTATACTTGGGGAGCGTCAGCCTACAGATTTCCTTACGTGTCCTTTTGATAAGCAACCCTCGAGCCCATAGGCTACCTGGAGCCACCAAGTATTTTGAAGGTCTTTTTGTTCTCCTGCGTTAATGCCAGCTGAACTGGTGCTGTGGCATTTTGGTAGATACGGAACAGATCTTTGATACAGGAAGAAACATCAACAGCAGGTGCACCTGAGTCATGCCTTGCCTGTCATCCAGTCCCTTGAGCAGGCCTGCTCCCAAATGGGCATGATGGTCATTTCACGGAGGAGCAAACTGAAGCTCAGAGCGTTTTAGTAATGTATCAAGAGTTTCTCATCCAGAGTCATGATCCGCCTCCAGTTCTGCTTCCAAAGCTGAGTGTTCTATAACCTGAAGGTCTGGAAGGGCCCTGTGGCTGTTTGAAGAAGAGACAGGCCAAGCAGGGGAAGAGGGAGGGGATGGGAGGAGGAAGGGGAGGACTGGCTTTCAGACCGTACACACAAGGCTTGAAATCAGTCCTGCTATTAGACAATTACACACAGAAATGCAGCAAACAGAAGCCACACTAGCCCACGTGTAATTGGATAAAGAATGAAGTGCCCGCCAGCATTCTGGGCATGAAACATAGGTGAACGGGTGCTCTGAGTGTTCAACTTGGTGGCAAGTATTTACAAGCCCCTCTTTCATTTTGCAGTTTTGATGAAATGGCCAAATACGATCTCCCAGCAATAGTAGACTTAATTATAAATAAAACCGGTCAGGAGAAGCTGTATTTCATCGGGCACTCACTTGGCACTACAATAGGTATGTTTACAAACTTCAATGTTTTACAAGGGTCAGGGCCTCGCAGGCATTCACCTTTCTTGAATTTCAGAAACTGTGTGTTGGGCAAATCTTTCCTCCGTTTCTGGTTACCACAGCACTTTTGTAATGGTGATAGAATTTCCATGTGCCCCAAATCTAACATATTTCCAAAGAGTAAGTTTCTAGGTCCCCTCTGCATGAAACTAGTAAAACCTAATGACATGAAATATCCCTGAAGAATGAGTACGTGTCGATCATACCTTCCTCACAACCCATTTGGGATTTTAAAAAATAGTAAAAAGGGTGAGGTTATACTTACATTTAAATGTATTGAAAATAATACGATCACTTTTTTTTAAAAGATTTTATTTACTTATTTGAGAGATAGAACACATGAGAAAGGGCAGGGGCAGAGGGAGAGGGAGAAGCAGACTCCTGGCTGAGCAGGAAGCCCAATGCGGGTCTTAATCCCGGGACTCCAGGATCAGGACCTGAGCCAAAGCAGACATTTAACCAACTGAGGCACTCAGGCATCCCTATGGTCACTTTTTTTTTTTTAGTTGATACACAAAAGCATACATCAACTGGGTTTATCTATTTAACGTGCAATTTAGTATTTATGGACTAGCAATTTAATGCAAGTACTATGCAGAAAATGTTTAGAAGTCCAAGATCCTTCTCTTTGAAAATGTACTTCCTAATGATTTCCTAGATCTTTTCAAAAGAAATAAAAAATACAGCTCCAAATAAAAATTTAGTGGAATCCATTATATGAATATTGCGAATTTGTTAGTGATCTTCCACTAAAACTTCCAATTTTAAGGACACAGTTCAGGTTAGGTCCATCTGTACCCCCCATCCTGCTCCCAGTGAGGGGGTTTGGGCATATGGAGGAACCAGATGGAGAAGGGATGGCTTGAACAGGGTCTAGAAAGTGGGCAGGATGTAGATGTGCTCTTACATCTGATCTGCAAAGAAAACAGAAAATATCTGATCAGCATTGCTCTGCCTTGTATGTAGGGCATGAATTTTTCAGTGGACATCCTCTGCATTTGGGGCAGAGCAATTTTTGTTATGTGGGAAGGACCCACTCTTCGCAAGGCATTTAGCAACCCAGGCTCCGACTCACACTGCTAGTCAGTGTGAGCACAGAACAACTCACCTCCACACACTTCCAGAGATCTTCTACAGGGAGTGTTAGACCAGTATACGAGTTTCAGTCTTTGTATCAATTGCTCAGCCAATTAATATAAAGTCAGTTCTTTTTCTGGCCAAGACGGTTTCAGTGTTTCAACAAGACTTTCGGGAAGAAAAAAAAAAAGCAAGGGTGTGCGTGCTTGTGTGCGCGGGCATGTGCACGCACGCGCGCGCACACACACACACGCTTACACACAGTGGGGGCCCCAGAAAGGCATCTCAGGGAACCAAAATACACAGATAGACCACATCCTTGCCCATGCAGTGCTGTTCTCCACTCTTATCCTTATGGGGCTTGAAATGCTTGCTATGCTGTTGCTGAAAAGTCAAAGCGGATGGAGATGGCTGGTCCTTACCAGGACCACAGGGGACTGAGAGAAATCAGGGAACATTCTAGAGGTCGGTCAGCACCCAGTAAAGCACTGGAAGGGATGACATCTCTTTGCACTGTGAGAAAAAAGCAACTGCGGGATCACTGGATAACACCGCATCAAGAACTGATGCGTTCCCCTCCCGTGAACCAACTGTTTACTTCTGGAAGCTCTGTGACTCACCCTGGCATCTCAGGGTTGGGGTAAAATGACAGCATTGCCAGCACTTAGCCCACACTGGGGGGTGAAGCTGTCCCCGGGACCCCTCGGCAGTGGAGGCTCACGCAGCTTATCCCTCACTCTCCCCAAGGAAGTCGAATTGTCTAGAATACAAGAAAAATGGACAGGAGAGCAGACAGGACTAAGGGCATATTATCTTTACAGAACAACTTTGAAGAGTTTTCAGTTCACCCGTGGGATTATTGCAACAGAAGAAAAAAGTGTCAAAGCAGAATCCCACTGTTGTTGGTAGAAACATTGCCTCAGTATTTTCTAATTTTTACAAGATTGTCTTGTCTCCTGTTCTCTTAGGGTTTGTAGCCTTTTCCACCATGCCTGAACTGGCACAAAGAATCAAAATGAATTTTGCCTTGGGTCCTGTGGTCTCATTCAAATATCCCACGGGCATTTTTACCAGGTTTTTTCTACTTCCAACTTCCATAATCAAGGTAGGCTCCTCATTTTTGCCAAAATGTCTCTGAGGATCCCATTTTGGATCGTATATCCTTACTATTTTAAAGTCTATTATGAAGCAATAGTGCCAAAGTAGGAAATTTACATGAAATCTGTAGAAACCAGACTCTGTGACCATGTGCTTGTGTGTGTGTGTATGTGTGTGTGTGTGTGTGTGTGTACCCACATACATGTCTACGATTCCCATATATAACTTACTATACTCAGTCATTAACAGATCTGAGTATACGTCAGAATTTCTAGCTGAAGTGAGCGCAGTGTAGCTTAAAGTCCACTGCAGTTTTCTCATTCCATTCTTATTCCACTGGGCAGGTCAGTAAATTGACAATGCCCAAATGGAAGACATTTTTCAAGTTCCCTATAATCCCTGACATTTCTGACTTTAATATTAGATGGGCCTGAATACTACAACCCCTTCCTGTAGGAGAATTTGCTTTAATGTACCAAGGCTAAGATTCCAAAATCTAAATGTCTTACAGCTCAATTATTTGTTCAGAATTTATTGGTTATTTTCCAAGGTTGAAGATGTACTTTGGTTGCCAATTATGAATTTGGGACTTTATCCATCAAAAGTCTTTTATTTATTTTTTTTTTCTGTTTGCTTTTTCTTTCTCTAAAAAGGTCATTGCCATGATAAACATAGTATTTTGGCAAAATTGCCCCTTCGATTTGGGGCGTCAGCTAAAATGGATTTGGGTCAAAATGAAATCAAGTAGACCGATAAGGGTTTCACAGTAATTCACATGTAAAATGAGGCCTGGCTTAAGGTGAAGGGGTGAGAATGGAAAAAAAAATTATTTGTGGGCGAACACAAGGATGAATTTCCATAGAACCTAATGATTGGTTGCATAGTTTATTGTGTTGTTTACTTTAAGCTCAGGTGATGCAAGTTCCCTTTTGCGGGATTGATGGTTCTGTTGCCAAAATGTAACTAATATCAGTTAGTTTGGGATGTTTTCTACATTTGGGTAGAGTTGAGCAGACAAAATAGTTACATTACATTGGGAGGCAGATACATCTGTCTCTACGTCATTTTTATAAAATATGGCTTTGTGAGCATAGGTAGGGTCTGAGGCTTATCTCAGTTTCCTATCACTGACTGTCAGATTTCTTGCCCCTTTCAGTGCCATTCCCTGATCCCTCCCACCATTTCATGTCTGTGGCCAGAAACTCCAGTCCTTCCAACTGGGCGCCCCGCGCCCAAGCTTACTCTCTCAAACCCTACACGTTTTAACTGTGCTGCATCCCGTGATTTCAAGTATTTTCTGTGCAGTGGTCCCCTTCCCTCAGTACGAACGCCACGGTCTACTTTCCAGTCCAAGAGCGGGCTCTGCTGGGACACTGTTAAAAAGACAGTGTGCCCATGGGTAGTAGGGGAAACCCTACTTTTCCTTCCTAGTCAAGGCAATGTCTGGCCTTAAGGAGAAAACGTTCCGCCTCTCTTGCCAGTTAATGAGAAATGAGAAATGCAGGCAGTCACCGATTGGACGGGATAGGGGAGCTCCACCACGGAAAAGTGAATTTGGAGTTGAAGAGCCTGACTGCAATCTCTTTTTTTAAATGATATTTGTTGATCTTCCCTGGATAGAGATGGATTCATAAGTAGTTCCTTTTCCCAAAAGACTTAGTCTCCTTAGCAGAAACACCAAATACAAATGGAAATGGATCTCTAAGAATCCTTATTCCTGGGATGAAGGGAATGTCATGAAGCCTGAAATCAGTTCTTGAAAGGATAATTATTGTTTATTTTTACAGGGTATTTTTGGTACCAAAGGTGTATTTCTAAAGACAGGAAGGGAACCCGCCCTCAAAATCTGCAACAATAAAATATTATGGGTGATATGTAGTGAACTTATGTCCTTATGGGCTGGAAACAACAAGAAAAATATGAATATGGTATGTACAATGATTACGGGGCCATTTGATGCTTTAAGAGATTCCAGCTTTTTTTTAGACTCACTTTGGTGGATCTATCACGCTGCATAAACTAATGTGGTTTTCTAAACTGTAAAGGCAGAGATTTGCTATGCCTAGATTGAGTATTCAATGGTGCATGATTATGAAAACTGGGGGGAAGAGTAGGTAGGTTCATCCTTCCATCCATGGTCATATTAGGAAAACAGATGTCCATCATGAGTAGGAGTTTTGTACGTTCCCTATCAGCCACCATTACTATAGTCAATGTGATTTTATTTTTTTTAAGATTTTATTTATTTATTTGACAGACAGAGACCACAAGTAGGCAGAGAGGCAGGCAGAGAGAGAGGAGGAAGCAGGCTCCTTGCTGAGCAGAGAGCCCGAGGTGGGGCTCGATCCCAGGACTCTGAGATCATGACCTGAGCCAAAGGCAGAGGCTTTAACCCACTGAGCCACCCAGGTGCCCCAGTCAATGTGATTTTAGAAATGATACCCTGCATTAAAAAAAAAAAAAAAATCACAGAAAAGAAGAGAAGTCCATATAAGCATAGAACTTATTTCCTCTGTGCCTTCCTTTGTTGGGTGACTTTGGCCTCCGTTAAAACTCTCCACTTAACTTGGAAAGCACAAGACAAAATGGAACAGAGATAGAACTCTTCTCCCTCAAAAGATGAGCAAGGCTGTTTCATCATCTCTTTGTTTCCTGTTATGGAGAATTCAAGGAGGAGGAGTGTACATCTGCAGGCTACTGTGGTTGGATGGCTAGTTCTGTCACATTGCATATGACGGCCAGCGAGGCTGATACAGTGAAGCCAGTCCCCAAATCACCCTTCTCGGCCAGCCCACCCTATTCCTATTCAAGAGGCGAACTTGAGCCAAACCAAAATAGGAGAGGGACCATTGTTCAAAGTCTGCTTATTCAACAGTAAATATTTTCAATAGATTACTTTCCTTCTGCAGAGTTCTAAGACATAGGATTCCCATTACTAGTATATCTCTATAATGTTTACAAAGACCAAAGCACAGTGCATCTGAAGTGATTATATTTAGCTTTTCTTCTGCAATATTTTATTTTAGCCTCAGAAAAGCCTGGCACAGTATGATTTTTACTATGTTCATTTAATAGGTGAAAATACAGAAACCCACAAGTTGCCCAAAGTCACAAAGCTTATAATTAACAGAGTTAAGTTCCAATGCCCAGGTGGTGGGAAGTGCCGATCCGGAACCAGGCACACCCATGCGCATGCGCACAGCACCCCTCCACACCCCGAAACCCTGCTCGCAAATTACCCCGGAGCTGGTGCAGGATTGCGCTGAAGCAACCCATGCTTTTACTCACAGTCAGGTGCCTGACGTGAGCCCTCCTTTACCTAGATGATTCAGCCTCGTCATTTCCCAAACCCCATCTTGGTTTGCTACTCTTAGAACACTCGTTCTCTGCTTCTGGGAGGTATCGTTCCTTTCCCTGGGTGATTTTTGCTACAATGTGTTTTCTTTCCCTCCAGAGTCGAATGGACGTGTATATTTCACACGCTCCCACTGGATCATCAATGCAGAACATCCTGCATATAAAACAGGTAGTGCCTTTGCCATGGAAGGACTCTTCGATCTTATTTCAGCACATCTGAAAGGAGAGAGTTAGCAGGTCTACCCCCTAGAGGCTTTGAAACTGGCTTCTACTTTGTCTCCATCACCATCTCTGGTTTGATTTCCCCAGATTGTAAGGAAAAGGGCAAGTTATGGTACAGACCAAGTAGGTGACAAAAATGAACCCAGTCTTAGATGGGAGCTTATGAAACAGACCCTGAGCTGAAGCAGGAGGTAACCGGGGAAAGCCTCATGGGATGGAACCTTCCTGGACAGAGAACTACCTGAGCTCTGACTTCCCCCTGAGGAGTCCTGATTTTCCCTTAGCTGTCCCTTCAAACCAAGGGCAGTCATTGCTTCCGTTTCTGCTGGCCTTGTGCTTCTAGTGGTAAAAATGTATTTATATACTTCTAATGACCCAGGAGTCTTATTTTCTTCCCAGGGCACAGTGGTTTTCTAAGATTTACTGGTAACAATTGTGATTCTTACTCTGATGATTTTTTCCAAAAAACATGTATTTCAGCTTTACAGATCTGATGAATTCAGAGCTTATGACTGGGGAAGTGAAGCAGAGAACATGCTTCACTACAATCAGGTGAGCTGTTAGGAACGGCCCCAGAAGGGTGGCTTTGAGACATTATAATAAATTATTGGAGAGTGAAAAGAATCCAACCTGACGATTGGTGGCATTCCCATTGACAGAGCTTTTTAAAAAGTGACTAATTTAAATATGCATTCATTGCAGAACATCTAAAAATAAATAGGATAGAAATAAAAGAAGCATGTCTGAAGGAATTAAAATAATGTATAATCCCTCCACCCACAGAACACAAGATGTATCAATATTTGACGGCATTTATCCCAGTCGTCCCGGTGTCACTGCTTTCACACAATTTTTAATCTTGCTTTTTCATGTACAGTTACGCAAGACCTAGCCAATGCCACGCAGGTGGTTTTTAACATATTTTTTGTTGACTGTATAATAATGAAAATTGTTTTTTAAAAATCTATAAAAGTGTACAGGGAAAATGAATACCCAGTTCTTGATAGCAACAGAAAAAAATATAGGATCCCACATGAAAATTAAAAGAATATTATCCACCCATGATGAGTTGAGCCATTTTTAGCCACTTTTTGTTGTTGTTGTTTATTAAAAGATTTCATTTATTTACTTGATGGAGAGAGAGAACACAAACAGGGGAAGCAGCAGGCAGAGGGAGAAAGAGAAGCAGGGTCGCTGCAGAGCAGGGGGACCCCAATGTGGGACTCGATCCCACTGACCCTGGGATCATGACCTAATCCGAAGGCAGTTGCTTAACCAACCAAGCCACTCAGACACCCGTTAGCCTCTTTTTTCCATCTGATATTCCACACTAAAGTTTGTAGACTCATTTAGGCCTTCTGTTCCTGCGATAAATCCTGTTGCCCCCATTTCTTTCCTCAAATTCAGGAGCTGGGCTTCTCCATATAAACCAAACACATTAAATTAAATTTTCCCAATGTTTTCCCAGACTGATGTATTGAAGGCAATTTATTAGTGCAAATATAGACCAATTATATTGTTTCTAAGCATTGAAACAGTCAATCAGACCAGCCGATTTCTCCATTAGTGAATGGATTGAATTGTGGGACAAATGATTCTACTAGCCCTAAGGACAACTAAGAAAGCTATGTATATTTTTATTATTTGTTAAGCTTGATTAAGGTGTAATTTACATACAATGAAATTCACGAATTTTCCAATTCAGTGAGTTTTGGCAAACACGCTCATTTGTGTAACCATGCCACAATCAAGATATAGAAGTCACCACTACCCCCAGACGTTTGCCCGTGCCCCTCGGACTGTATATATTCACAGATGCATATATTTGCAAATGCTTAGAATAAGGCCAGGAAAAAAAGGAAAACAGAAAAACAAAAAACAAAATAAAAAAATAAAAAACAACAGCCACAACAAATGCGAAAAGAATTACCTTCAGAAAGGGGAAGAAAGGCAGACTGAATGGGGAGAATGTGAAGGAATTAAGGAGACTCTCAATTTGGATTTGACATAATTCTTTTTCCTTCCATTATTTTTAATGAGCATATTACATTTATAAATCGTTTCCGTTTACAAGAAAATGAAATAAAAATGTCACCCATACACTTAAGACCATTGTTAGTCAAGCTCTTTCTTTTTCAGCTATATTGAGGCAAAATTGATGAATAAAATTGTAAGACTGAAGGATACAACGCACTGACTTAAGTGTGTGGGAGGGTCAGCGTCCTTAGAATTTCTCTATGGTTCACTGGTTCCATCTGTGTCCAGGCTGATCCTGTTTGCTTTGAGTATGATTTTAGGTCACTTGAAGTCAATTTTTATTATATTCTAGCCTCATTACTTTGTCGTCTTCTTAAGTTCCCAGCCCAGTCTTTGAGCCTGTCGCATTTTATCGAGAATAAGGAGACTCACCCGTGTAAGCTCCACGAGGGTAGAGATTTCCTTCTGTTTTGTTCACCAGGTGTTTTCTCACCTGGGAGAGGACCTGGCACTTCCTGGGCCCTTAACACCTACTTGTTGCATGAATGAAATTTCTTAAAGTCCCCCTTATGCATCTTAAAATGTCGCTGTCCCCTTCTCTTCTTCCTTCCTCTTTCAGAAAATGAAGATCCACTTATTTCCCAAGTTTGTGGGCCTGTGCCCTTGGCCCCATCTCTTCTTATCTCCTCTTTCTCCTGGTTCCCATTACACTTTTTTTTAAAAGATTTTATTAATTTATTTGACAGACAGAGATCACAAGTAGGCAGAGCGGCAGGCACAGAGAGAGGGAAGCAGGCTCCCTGGTGAGCAGAGAGCCCGATGTGGGGCTTGATCCCAGGACCCTGAAATCATGACCTGAGCCGAAGGCAAAGGCTTAACCCACTGAGCCACCGAGGCGCCCCTCCCATTACACTCTTAAATGAATTGCTGTTCTTTATGAAAAATAAACAAAAAAGCCTTCCATCAACCTATGGATTCTATCACTCATCATTCCAACTATCTCATTTTAATCAACATTTTTTTAAATATTTGAAAGGGTGAGTTTCTCCACTTCTTCCCCTCTTCCACTCACTCCTGAACCCCAGAGCTGGAGTTTGGGTCTTCATCTTTCTATTACAGCTACTTCATTTAAAATCACTTGTGCCTTTTGACCGCCACATCCAGTGGCCTGCTCCAATGTATGTTCTTTGAGCTCCCACGGCCCCTTTGCCATTCACTCCCCCACCCCGGACTTCCATAATGCGGTGATCTTGAGTTTTCCCTTCTCTTTCTGATTATTTCCTTCATCCTCCGTCGCCACTGGCGGCTTTCTATCACCCCCATTCACAAATGATCAGCCTTCCTCCTCTCTCCCTTTCTCCATTGGAGAATGTAGTCCTTCCTATAGCTTCAATTATCCCTTCTCTGGACCATCCCTGCTGCATGTCTAGATTGTTCCAGAATCTACCTCCAGCCTATTCCTTCCTCAAGGCATCTCAGACCGATGGCCCTTACAGTTACCCTCAGAGAGAGCTCTGAGAAATGACCCTGCCTCATCCTCCCAAACTTCTGAAAGATGTCAAAATACCTTAGCCTGGCCCTTGACTATCTGTCTCCAATCTTCTATCCTCCTGCATTCTCTCACACAGTTTCATCCCTGGGTTCTCTGGATAGCTTGCCATCATGACCGTGGTGTACGTGTTCTTGCTACCTGCTTGGAAGCCCTCTCACCCTCATCCCTATGTGACAGAATCCAACAGTCCCTCCAGAGTCATTTCAGATGATTCCTCTTCCTCAGAAGCCCCCAGTCAGAAGTTGTGTCTTCTTCACCTTCACTGCCATTGTATTTGGGGAGCGTTTAGTGGCATTTGACATACCCTACTTTGTAGCAAATGTCTGTTGACCTATCTTGCGTCCTTCCTTCACACTCCTTGAAGATACGGACCATTGCAGGCATTATTTCTACTTCCCTCAATGCCTGACAGAGCTGCACTTGTAGTCGATGCTGAGCCCAGTAGTTGAGCCCATCTGTTGCCGTAAGGAGATTTTTCTCACAAACGCTCTTTCTCTCTCTTCTGTAGAGCCGTCCCCCACTCTATGACTTGACTGCCATGAAGGTGCCTACTGCTATGTGGGCTGGTGGCCATGACGTCCTTGTGACGCTCCGGGATGTGGCCAGGGTAATCCCCCAAATCGGGAATCTCCAGTACTTCGACCTCTTGCCTGACTGGAACCACTTCGATTTCATCTGGGGCATGGACGCTCCCCAGCGAGTGTATAGTAAGATCATAGCCTTGATGAAGTCATACTCCTGATGGCAAGGAATTCCTTCTTGGTTAAAAGTTGCTTGCCAGCCCAGGGGAGGCTTTGGGAAAGAGACTGGTCAGCAGGGAGGCCTTCTCTGGTGTCCTTCAACTCATTTGCTGTTGCTAAGGGTTTCCCTTACCCGACATCCCTGCTAGCAGTTATTTCAACTGTGCTGCTCATCAGCTGAGAAATCTCCAACCTTCCCCCCTCAGTCAGGGGAGGCCCCATTTTTCACCTCTGTGAAATATGCCCTTGGGAGAGTAGTTCAAAGAGGACTTTTTCTTTCCTCATTAAATTCAATTTCTTAAAAGGAGAGACTTTGCAAAGGCAGCCGTTTGGGAATATATTTTGGGAGGTGGTGATCTTATGACCTACTTGAAATTACCATTAGGGCCAGAGACATGATGGCCATCTGTAAACAGGCCATGAAAATAAGCTCCAGCCCACATCCAGTAGGAAAGAGAACATCACACTGGAAAAGATTAACAAAATGGAAGTTTTCCCACGAAGGACTAGGTAGTATATGCTGAATTACTGATTATTCTGAAGTTACAACACATAAGAAATAAATCTCTCGTGTCTTGCCCTAAAGATAAGTTAAACTGATCACCAGCAGTGTCTTCGTGGTCAAAGGGGGATTTATACTATTGCTTGTACCCAAATGACATTTAAAGCAGCTTCCAGAAAGCCTATGGGGGGTGGGGGTGGAGCTAGGAATATTCCAAGTCTTGCTCTATTTCATTCTCTAAATGATGCCAGACGTTGATTCTAGGATTTAGTACAGATTTCCAAGAGCAGCATGAAGTTCTGTGTCTGTTTCTGGATTCCTGAGCGGTGGAAACTTGGAAAAGTTCTTTACCCTCTGTGAAGATGTCACTAACGGAAAACTGTTTACGTCCCTCAAGGAATGTACATACCTCCCACAGTTAATTTTTAAAAAGTAATGTATGTTAGCCCCCCAATATTTGCATGTCAGACCAGGGTCTTTTGGATGTCAAATACCACATAATCATTCTTTAATAAATAATTCATACCTCATCATTTTTAACCTTAATTATAATGTCTTTCAAAAGAATAACAATTTTAATACACTTGGGAAGCCATTTGAAGTGCAAATCCATCCATATTTATATAACTTTTATTTACCAAGATTAGACTATCCAAGCTTATCAGTTTTAAGTGAGTTTTATGGAATTCTTCTGAAGAATGAAATGTAGTTTTCTTTTTTATTTTTTTAATTTAAATTCAAGTAGCCAACGTATAGTATATCATCAGTTTAAGATGTAGTGTTCAGTAATTTATCAGTTGCATATAACACCCAGTGAAAATGTGGTTTTCATACAAACAATACAGTCTTTCAAAGTCACATTTAACCAAATTAACCAAAATGCATTAAATAATATAATTATTATAACAAATAGAAGAGGCATAAGTAAGTCTGAGAACAAACATCTAACTCTTAGTAGGCTTACAGTTCAACTGGAAGGAGGGGAAAGATGTGACCGTAATAGATGAGCTTATTTGTTATGACTATTCAAGAGGCATCGGGCATCAGTTAAGATACCTACAAGAGAGAAAAGAGGCATTGGTTCCTATAGGAATCTAGTTAAGTGGAGGTCATTTGAGAGAGCCCCTAAGAGGATTTATCTAACTCGGCTATTGCTATAGTAACACTGTGCGGCAAATAATCGTGAGGAGCCCACTGGCTCCCAACAGCGAACATTCCTTTGTCGTGCTCACAACCCTGCGGTTTGACTGGGGCGGCTCTGCCTTGCACTGGGATCACCAGGGCCCCGCTCAACCCTGTGGGATGGGTCCTGGTCTGCGGCACATGCCAGTTCATTCTGGAACGAGGAGCTAACGGGACTCTGTTCTTCCCAGGGTAGATTCCAAGAGCAGGAGAGGACTAGCTAAATCACAGCAGTGTGTTTACAACTCTGCTGGCTGCCCCGCTGCTCCCACACTTTTCCCTGCCTCCAATCACACAGTCAAGCCTGTCCCCAGTGGGGTGGGGTAGTCAGCCTCGCCTATGGGGGAAGGATGCTCAAACTACAGGACAAAGAATGTGTACCCAGAATGCTGTGATACGGGAGTGCAGAAGTGGGAAAGAATCCATCCTACCACAGACAGGCACAAAACTCAAAAGATGAAAATAGAGAATATAATAAAAAGTATGTCCCTCTCCCTGCCTTGGCTCCAGGCCCCACAGTCTCCCCTTCAAAGACAACTCCTTCTTACAGTGTTTTTGAGGACTTTCTATGGATTGTAGTGAACATTTTCAAATAGATTCATAGAACTCATTGGGTTTTTTCACCTAAATGTACCATACTACACCTACTTCTTCACATTTGACTTTGATCACTTAATATATCTTGGAGACCTTTCTCTATCAGTTCACTTGGAACGTTATTATAGACTACATGGAAATTCATAATCAACAGAAATTCAGGTGGATTAGGATCTTTTGTAATTATACACATTGCTGTAAAGAATATCATACAGACGGGGCGCCTGGGTGGCTCAGTTGGTTAAGCATCTGCCTTGGGTTCAGGTCATGATCCCAGGGTCCTGGGACCGAGTCCCACATCAGGCTCCTTGCTGAGACTGCTTTTCCCCCTCGGCGGCTCCCCCTTCTCTGCTCTCTCCTTCGGACAAACAAATAAAAAAAGTCTTTTAAAAAAATTATCAATCTATACCTTTGCAATGTGTGCACTTTCTCTGTTTTGTGCATTGCATTTCAAGAAAAAGTGTGTTTTAAATACCCTAAACTTTTCTGCTGTAAATCAACAAGCTATGAAGTACAGAAGGAAAGAACACTTTTTTACCAATACCACTACTTTCTTTTAGCTTTTTTGCTCTGCATATGGTAGCAAATACATTGACTATGATAGGTCTGAATAATAGTGCATTTTTTGCCAGGAGTTTTATAGGAAATCCCTCATTTAAAACTTATAAGCCTATGGGATAGAACTATGGTCACATGAGACACAGAATAATGAGATATAAAAGACAACTTTTCCTCAGATTGCACAAGTGAAGGAGTCATGATTTTAATCCTGGATGTCTAATAGTATGTATCTGTATAAATGTGTCCAAATGGTATATAAATGTCCTTGTGACACCATAGAGAAAATCATGTTTGTACTACCCTAGACCACAATTACTTGGAAAATTAAGGCAAGAGATGAGAAAATGCCTCGGGGTTTTGGGGGGTAGGGAGGTTGTTGTATTTTTTATAAACTCTAACCATCAAAATGAGATGAGAAAACAGAACTGCTCTGTGACCCAGCAATCCTACTTTTGGGTATATATCCAAAGGAATGGAAATCACTGTCTTAAGAAGATATATGTACTTCCATGTTCATTGTCAAATTATTCACAACAGGGGTGCCTGGGTGGCTCAGTGGGTTAAGCCTCTGGCTTTGGCTTGGGTCATGATCTCAGGGTCCTAGGATCGAGCCCCACATGGGGCTCTCTGCTCAGCAAGGAGCATGCTTCCCCCTCTCTCTCTGCCTGCCCCTCTGCCTACTTGTGATCTCTCTCTCTGTCAAGTAAATAAATAAAATCTTTTTTAAAAATGTATTCACAACAGCCAAAATATAGAAACAAACTAAGGGTTCATTGACAGATGAATGGATGAATGGTGTATACAAACACACACACACACACACACACACACACACACAGAGTAAAATAATACTCAGCCATAAAGAAGGAAATCCTGCCATTTACGACAACACAGATGGACCTTGAGAGCATTATGTTAAATGAGAGAAGTCAGAGAAAGAAAAGCATTGCATCATCTCAATTATTTTCATAAGAAACAGAGTAGAATGGTGGTTGCAGGGTGGGGAGTTTGGTGAGGGGGAAATGAAGAGATGTGGCAAAGGACACAAACTTTTAGCTCAGATGGCAAGTTCTAGGGCTCTATTCCAGCATGGCGACTATAGTTAACAATCTTGTATTGTGTGTTTAAAGGTTGCTATGAAAGCTTTAGTGTTCTCACCATAACAACAAAAGAGTAATTGTGTGAGATGAAGGATGTGCTAATCTTATTTGTGGTAAACATTTCACAATACCTAAGTGTATCAAATCATCACATTGTGTATCTTAAACTTACACAATGTTTTATGTCAGTTAGATCTCAATAGGCTGCATAAAAAATTTAGATGAGTAGAAGATAGCTAGTCAGGTCAATTACAACACATTTTTCATCACTTTGTCTGAAATACCAGAATCTCTTCCAAGGAAGCATAGAATCTAGCAATCCACTGATGCTGAACTTGGTTATAGACTTTGTAATATAAAGTTATCAAAAATTTGACAATGTTTCTCCTTTTTTTTTTCTTACCCTTACATTTACACAAAGCAGGAAACTCACAACCCCATAACAGACTCACTGGGGAACTATACTTTCTCAAGCCTGAATATCCCATTAATATTTTGTATAGAACAAGGAAAATAATAACATTAATTTCTGGTACAACTCCATGTCACATCTAAAGTCTTTGGTGAATTTCTTTGAGGAGGTATAATTAGTTTCAGAGAGGCGAAACTGGACTAAAATAATGGCTTTTCAAGACTCATTAATCCAAGAGCAAGGAAGTTATCTGACCACCCAGGGCCTTGGTCACATCTGACCACTTCCCCGTAGTCCTTCTATGCAAAGCTCATCCACACCTTCCAAGGTCTGGCTCAAACACTACCATTTCTGAAAAGATTTCCTTGAACTTCACGCCCCCAAATTAGTACTTCTTCTAAATCACTTTTTATCATCTCCTGAATTATCTCTTCAGTCTATCTCCCTAATCAATGTAGCTTGAGAAAAGGAGCTAGGTGTTTCTTAAAATCTTAAAAATATTTTAACTTTTTAAAATCTTTATTTTGAAATAATATAGATGGCTGTGAAATTGCAAAAATAGTACAGAAAGGTCCCACATACTTTTCATTGTTTCCCCCAAAGATAATATCTTACATGACTACAGCGTGCTCTCAAAACCATGAAGTTGACCTTGGTATAATCCACAGACCTTATTCAGACCTTGCTTGCCCTCCCGTGTGTGCATGTGTGTGTGTGTGTGTGTGTGTGTGAGAGAGAGATATCAGTGTTATCACGGGTGTAGATTGTGTAAGACAACCACAATTAAGATACAGAATGGCCCATCACCACAATA